TCAAGTTGCTGCCCCCCTCACTCGGTTAACGTGCAAGGACGAGCTCGAATGGGGACCTATCGCAGAAAAAACATTCCAAGATTTGAAGATGGTATTTACTACAGCTCCAATCTTGGTACATCCGGACTTTACAAAGGCCTTTTATTTAGAGACAGATGCTTCGGATTTTGCTTTGAAAGTTGTACTTTCGCAGATGGGCATAGATGAGAAGCTCCATCCAGTTGCGTTCTATTCTCAAAAATTCTCTGCTGCTGAGATCAACTATGAGATCCACGATAAGGAACTCCTTGCTATAGTAGATTCTTTCCAAGAGTGGTGCCACTTTCTCGAAGGAACTGCACATCCAGTGACCGTATATACGGATCACAAGAATTTGGAGTATTTTATGTTGGCTCGGGTTTTGAATCAGCGTCAAGCTCGGTGGAGTATGTCGCTATCCATGTTCGACTTTGTTATTACTTATCGGCTTGGGAAGCAACAAGGGTTGTTCGATGCATTATCAAGGAGATCATATCTCGTGCCAAAGGCTGGAGATGCAGCATTTGATCAACAGTGCGCGACATTGTTGAAGCCAGAGAAATTTCGGCTCAACGCAGCTATTGTACTAATTGATGCTGACTTCCTCGACCAGGTACGGGCCGCAACCATTGAAGATTCTCTAGCCCTTGATATCAAGCAACATGCTAGTGATGATAAATTCAAGATGGAAGGAGATCTAGTATATTTCGAAGAGCGGTTGTATATCCCAAAAGGGCCAACACGACTCCGAGTTCTTCAATCTTGTCATGACTTTTCAGCTGCGGGACATTTTGGATTCAATAAGACCTTGGAACTTATTTCCCACGATTTCTGGTGGCCTCAAATGTGGAAGGATGTGAAAGATTTTGTTGTATCTTGTGACATTTGTTCAAGATCCAAAAACCCTCGACATCGGCCTTATGGACTTCTACAGCCATTGCCTATTCCGCGCCGACCATGGTCTTCGGTTTCCATGGACTTTATTACAGATCTACTACCATCGAATTCATTTGACAGCATTTTTGTTGTCGTAGACTGGCTTATAAAGATGGCGCATTTTGTCCCTTGCAAGAAGACATCGTCAAGCGAAGACACAACAAGACTCTTTCTTGATAATGTGTATCGATATCATGGTCTACCAGATGATATCGTATCGGATCGAGGAACCCAGTTTGTGTCAAAGTTTTGGAAATCTCTTTTTGAAATATTGAAGGTGGATATCAAGCTTTCTTCGGCATTTCATTCTCAAACGGACGGCCAAACAGAACGGGTGAATCAAGTTTTAGAGCAATATTTACGTTGCACCATCAACTATCAACAAGATGATTGGGTCGCATATCCACCGCTAGCCGAGTTCGCATATAACAACACTCTTCATGCGTCAACTCAACAAACGCCATTCTTTTCCAATTATGGATACCATCCGAAGCTTGACTTATGGAGTTCGTCAACAATTAACAATCCGGCAGCTGAAGGATTGGTGAAGGAGCTTTCGCAGCTTCAAACTACATTGAAGCTTCAATTGCAAACTGTCCAAGAATCTTACAAGGCGTCCGCGAACAAATTTCAGAATCAAGCACCTAAATTCACGATTGGAGACAAAGTTTGGCTGCTTCGACGAAATATGAAGACCAAGCGGCCATGTGACAAATTGGACTATCGGAGATTGGGACCATTTGTTATCTAGAAGCAGATCAATCCTGTAGCGTATCGTCTGGAGTTACCAGCTACTATGAAGGTACATCCTGTCTTTCATGTTTCTTTGTTGGAGCCTTATCGAGAATTGTCTTTTCCTGGAAGAGTACAATGTCCACCACCTAGCATAGAAATAGAGAACCACGAAGAATACGAGGTGGAAAAGGTCCTGGATTCATGGCAAAGACGGGGTAAATTAGAATACTTTGTGCATTGGAGCAGTTACGATATTAATGAACGAACATGGGAGCCGGCCAAAAATCTCGCGAATGCGCCGCAAAAGGTACAGGAGTTTCATCGACGATATCCTGAGAAACCCAAGCCGATTCGACGATAGCTTCTTACTGAAGCTTGCTCATCCAGAAAACAGAAAAGAGGAGAGAGCACCACCAAAATCCATAGTTGATGTACTCATTCTCTCCAAGATAGCGTAGAACTTTGTTAGTAGCCCAAGTTTGTTCTTATTGTTTTAGCCTTTGAATATGGATAGCCAAGATACTACACTTGTCATGTCATCTCAAGCAACTAGCTCACAAAGACGACCGCGAGATGAAGAACCGCTTGCACCACGACGACGTCGAAGGATTCCGAGCAACAGATCGCTGGTGATTGTATTTGAGGTCGAGCCTGCCTACAATGGTCAGCCAGAAGGAGTGTTTGCAGGACAATTTCACAGTGAAGATACGGAGGTTCATGCTTGGTCAGAAGTTGAAGGCGTGGGCCACTACCGTTGGCTTCAAGGACTATTGAATCACTTGCCTCGTGAACAACAATTGGAGTTCATAGCAGAGGTTATGCGATAGATCTTCATTTTCTTACATTGGTATTGATTGACGATAACATTGCTTCTCGGAGACCTCGAAGCTAAAGGAGGAGGTGATGTTAGGGACATAGTCCTTACACCTTTCTAGAGACAAGTTTCTAGAACCTTCTAGAAAGAAGTCTCTAGAAACTTCCAAAAGATTCTTTGAATATTTTCTTAGAATATTCTTAAAAGATTCCCTAAAGATTCCCTTAGAAGGCTCTAGAGGATTCTTAGAATATTCTAGTAGATTCTAGGAAGTTACTTGAGAAGCTTCCTAACTCTTGGGTAGTTGCTCAAGAAGCTTCGTAGTTCTTGGGAAGCTTCTTGATGCGCTTCCTTAGAACCATAGGCCAATAGTATATATAGGAGTCGAGGCTGAAGAGTTCTTCAGTCTCGACAACACATCTCTTGAAGCTCTAGCTCAATTCTCTTGGCGTTGCTCTTGTATTCATCTGATAATCTAGTTCTTGTCATTTCTTCTTAAACTTCTTGTTTAGATTTCTTGTTTGTAATTTTGGTCCGTGACAAATATATATATATATATATATATATATTTAAATTAGAATAAATTTCAAAAAAAAATACATACATAATTTTAATACTTTGAAAAAAATTCACTAAAAACACCATGAAAATTATTAGGCAACATAAACACTTTTAAATATAAATATATTTAATTCCCTAAGGGTCATTTATTGTACTTTTATTTAGAAACTTGAAACCAGATAAATCTAAAAAATAGTAAAATTTCTCATAATCTAGATATATAGTAAGATAATAATAAAAAAATCGTTAAGCTGAGAATATTCATTTAAAAAAAATTACACATATTTACATTTTTTAATATGTAATAATAAATTTTATACTAATATTAAAATTTAATATTTCCTAATTTCAAGTTGAATTTATTTTCAGATTTTTTTCTTTTATTAATTTATGAAAAATTATATAATAATCTAACTATAAAAACACACACACACATACACACACAAAAAAAACAAAAACAAAAAACAAAAAAAAGGAAGTCTGAAGTTGACGTATATTTACAATTTTGCATGATTTCACAACATTCAAAAAAGAATCAAAGTTTTTTTTTGAAGACCTTGTTGCAAATCTTCATTACATTATGTATTTTTTTTCTTTTTTGTATTCAAAGCATGATTTCTAAAAACTGAAATGAATTAAAAATGAATTCCATCACATCAGTTATAAAAATAAAAAAATAAATAAACCATAAAGTAGATATAATATGTTTCATGAAACTTCAATCAACCCATTCAAAGTATTTATTTGTTATCATCAAAATGTTGTTAGCAAAACAATAAGAAGCATGAGACATGAAAAACAACACAAGAAATGAAGATGGTCAAGTGGAAATAAGCTGTGAAAGGAGTCGGAGAATGGATGAACTTAGGTCATCACCCACACCATGTGCGTCCATTCTTTATTTTATTTTTATATTATTATTATTATTATTATTGTGTAAGTTTTTTTTGTTGGATGTTGATGGTTCCATGCTTTGATAAGGGTCTATGTATTTTTTCAAGCTTTGAAGCAGCCAAGTTAATGAAGTCAGAGCCACCTTGTTTGATACCACAACTTGGGTTAACTGACATTGATAAAGGCCCATTGATCTTTGAATCCAGATGACCCCACCTTGGCCATCACAACAGAAAATTATAAAAAATTATAAAAAAATAATAGACATAACAATAGCCTTAGTGAAAAGAAACCACAACAAATGTTAAATCAAAATGTTTGTCTAGGCTAATTATCCAAAAAAAACGAGTACTTACCGAGGCTCAAATGTTTGCTTCTGTGTCTTATTCTTCTTGGTTTTTCCATCATATATTAATATAAAATTTATTTTGAGGTTGACAAATCCGGGGTACTCTTCCATTGCTTTAAATGTTTTTGTATTGTAGTTGTATCCACCCTTCACCTACTCCCACCAATTTCATGGCATCATCTTTTTTTTGATAAAGTTAAAGTAAACGCACCCCAGTCCACACACAGTGGGAATGTCACTGGGAACCATTTGAGCACCCTACGAGAACCTTCCGAGGCTGGATTTCACCACTTCAGGTAACTTTATCGCTATCTTAATGTTACTGGGAAAAGTTACCTTTTGCTTTTTCAGGTGGTATAAAGTTACTGTCCTCGTACAAACATAAAGAGTTTATTGAGGGCCTCGTATAGTTGGGTGAAATAATGGTGGAGCTAATCGGGGATGGGTAAATGAGTAGGGTAGATGGGGGACAGTGAATGCAATGATGTGAAGTGTGAAATGAACGAGTACAGTAATAAAGTGCCCCCTTACAAACAAAAAAAGACAAAAGGAATAGTGATCCCTGACGTTTCTGTTGAGCTCACTTCAATCTGGATTGATACCCTGAGATGGTTGAAACCGGGTATGGAATCCGGGTCTCGAGGCGTGCGCGTCCCTTAGTCCTAGCTGCATGTTCATCTGCCGCTGCCCTTGTTGTTTTCGGCTTGTCGTCGCTTTGGTCTTGGGTGGTCGCTTGATTCCCATGCGCCATAACTTGTGAGCTGGATGCGGTATGGAGTTCGCCTTCCTCGCGAATCTTTGCGGAGACTATTAGATTTTTTTTCTTTTTCTTTTTTGGTTTATTTGCAGACATGCAGATTTGTTTTGGTGCAAATTTCCGGCTGCATTTGAGGAGGGAAGCCTTTTCGTGTTCTGCGTTCTCGACAATGGTTGGTTCAAGACTGTGTGCTTATTCATAGCTCCAGTATGCTTGTGTGTTGATTTGTGCCTAGATGAATTTGAGGAGGTGAAAAGGAATGTGAGAGGAAGGGAAGACGAAGTGAAGAACTAGAAGGTTTGTATGAAGGCTGATGTCTATTAATAACTGTTTGTAGGCAGGGAGGGACAAGGAGGTGAACGGAGAGAATAGAGTACCGCGCGTATTGATTTTTGCGGTATCATTTTCGGAAATGGATCCTGCAACGTTGTGAATGTTTCTCCAATATCGTGAAGCAGAAACGGAATCGGACTTAAGTGCGTGCGTCATGACAAACGCTGACACCTCTACGCGCGGTGTGTGCTTGGTTGATCACTTCTTCTGAGGAAGTGTATGTGGTGAGAGACGATTGTTCATGCCGAATGAAACCTTATTCACTGATTTCAAGTATGCTTCTGGTGAACAAAGGGTATTTCGTGTTCTACACGGATATCAGAAACATGATGGATGTGTGAGCCATTTAGCATCAACGTCAGAGCGGGCCGTCAGATTCCGTTAAGATAGACTTGCACTTCACTTCACGTGTTACTGATGGTAACTCTTATTCTGTGGATACTGAATAAGAGCGATTAGGATCCAACCCTCTGTGTCTTCCTGCCTGTCTTCTGTATCTGCAGAAATTCAGAGTCAGGATATTCTGGAGTGATTTCGAAATTCGCAGAGGGCTAACTTAGTGATAAATCAAGTTCTGCACAGGCATCCCACTTCATACACTTTGAGAATGCGTTTAGGAAAGTGCATTTCAGGTTTCTCCTATTAGAAGTGCGCTGAACTATGGTGTGCTTGAGGGATGCTGAGCAAAGAAGTTCCAGCTCAGCGACATGCTTAAAATGGGTAATTTCAATGTTGACATAGTACTCCAGTTTTGAGATTTCTGGTGGGAATCCGAAAATTTGTTGAGCGCTGGAACCCGAATTATTTGTGAAGCAGGCTTGTGGGAATTGAGATGTGGAGGACGTGATTGTTCGTGACAACTTCGGGAAGATACTAAAGTTAGATACTAGAGTAATTCCTTAAGATTTGCTGCTCCTTCAGCCAAAGTGAGCATGACAATTAAGTGAATAAACGTAAGTCTAAACTCTTCTCCCATTACGTTTTCCTTGACAATGATAGTCCAATACAGTAGCTATTAAACGGGTGGAATTTGTTTTTGAAACAATGGAAATCTTGGCTCCCTGCATATTCGATAAGAAAAATCGTATTAGGTACCTAAACCCTAAAACCTGGTTCATGTTGACCTTATGTTGATCACTAGTAGCATCCAATTAATGCCTCCATGCTTCTGTTTCGTAAAATCTCCATGTTAAACCAGATATATAGTTTATATTAAGTCACTTAATTTGGCATTAAGGTAATCTCATCAGAAAAATCTCTTCCTGGTTGGAAATGTTAAAGTAAGACAGTAACTTAGACATGTCATATCCTCGGCGTCCAGTTCTAGCTTACGAATACAGGTCTTGTCTAAATTAATGGAATCTATACTCCTACATGTAGAGGGCTGGCCTCAGTCCTCGTGAAAAGCGAAAAAAATGAATAACTTGTAAATGTCCGGAAATCTATTGCAGTTCCATTGATTTCTTATACCCTGCATAATCTGACCATTTGGAACATGGCAGAGTGCAAGGATTCTCTAACGAAGTACAATGTCATTGAAGCGATGTCTTGAAACTCAAGATTGCCAACTGTTGATTCTGGCTCCCAGACGGAAAGAGTTCGTTACCTCTCATCAAACCCAGTCCAGGGTACTTTTGTGCTGGAAGGTGTGAATGGTGGAGTAAAGAATTGCCATGGCTCTGGGAATGTGAAGATTTCATGTGTTCTCACTCAGCACAAGAGAGTGAATTCTGCATCCGAGATATCCCTCAAAAGGATCCGAGACGATCAAATACTGGAGAAGCAGTATCGGGATGAATCTATGCCTGAGCTTTTCATGGATGAGGCTGAAACGCAAACTTGGCAAAATCAGTGAGCCGATAAATTAAAGAAGGTTCAGCTATTGCACAATTCAGGTGCAGGAACAAAAAGTGAACGGTGGTGTGGCGTTGCTGCTGAAATTCATAAGTCGACACCTTTGACAGCTGACGATGCTCACACCCCATCTTGTGCGATGAGGAATTCCCCTATGGGCTCCCTGGATCAATGGAATTACTATCCAGGGCCTTCAGTTAATAGTGATGTTTCCATGTCGCAACATGATGACATGGTTTGCAAAGATGACACTTGTGATTCTGATAACCGAAATTGTTCATTGATTGGTAAGGCGATCCCGAATGGAGAAAGCGAAAAGGGTGTTGCGAAATTGGAAAAAATGGATTCTTCTTTGGAGGCATCGCAGCGAAATGCTACTGCCGATAATGTGATTGCGGTGCAACAGGGAAGAGCTTCTACGGGTCATATTTCTGCAAGCTGCAGACAACAAGTCGTGCACAAAACGTCAAATGGTGGGGATGGTTCGTCCGCACTATCTATGGACCAATTGAACAATTCACAGCTTCCAAAGACCTACCCTGCACTAGGAGGACGACTTCAAAGAACACGGTCGTATAGGTGTGGTCGCTTGTGTGACCAGAAACCCATAGAGCTACACAGGTCTTACAACAACTCCGGAGCATGTCAAAATGCTGCAGCACCAAATCCAATGCTGAAGAAGGCCATCTCGATGCGAGAGGGTGGTGCGCACGCAGATGCTGTGATTGAGATGGCACGCGCTTACACAGACAGAGTGTGTGGAAGTCCTGAAACGCTGGACTGTGCATCATGTAGTAGAAATTTAGGGACAATTGTGCAGGGCAATCCTGGAGTTGACATCGCGTTCTGTCAAGCCTGTCGACCATCACCTTCACAATGGAAGAAACCGGCATTAAACAATGAGGCAGGGTTCAAAAAAAAGAAGTCCGGGATAATTCCATTTTGTAGGAAAATTCTGCGCTTAGATAAAAAGACAAGTTAAGCGAGATTGTTCATGAGGTTTATCTGCCCCAGCACAGCAGAGTTTCTTTTCGCCTTCCAAGCTCTGGAATATTTCAGCTTGTGTACATTGTTAGAGTGCACAGGTGAACAGGGATCCAACCGCCCTAAAAATCCCTGAATCCCCATTGATGTCGATTTGCTTTCACTTCCAGTACCATTAAGTTCATGCAGATACTCCGCTATGGTGTGTTGGACTAGTGTTCATAGGAAACGGAATAAAGCGGTGGCCGCCGGGTACACGCAAGTGGATTGTATGCAAGTTCTTGTGGATTGTACCATACAGTAGCGTAAAATATTGAATTTTATTGAAGACGTACACCATTTCACAAATCAGGTAATATTATTTGTATGTATACTTCATCCGTCTATTAGGAGGGCTTTATGCTGTAAGTGTATGAATTCTGTCCATTACTTCACTTCGAGTGGGCTTGTGACATTCACGGGATGAATCGTTGTTCCGATGGTGACTGTCGGAGTGGCACGGAATGACTGCTGTCGTATCCAATATTAATGTTCTTCTAACAGCCACTTTGCAAGCAGTGTTGCTAGAACTTGGTCAACTCAGCCCAATTGACTGTCATGGGTGCTGGATTGTTGCTAGATTTCATGGTTCTCGATCATCATTTACTCATCATCCTGTCAAAGGTGTATCAACAACTGTACAGAGGCACCTCATAGTGGCATAGACTGTCATGTGTAGTGTTGATTTTACAAGAAATAAGGACAGCAACACCTTCGCCCTATTAGTGGATTACGACTGTGTAAACAACGTCAAAAGCTTGGTTCACCGAAGGATAAGCTCTTAATTATTATTATACATAAAATAAATGTGAAATGTAGCGAGAGAACGAGCTACAATCATCACTAGCTACTATTAAAAAGACATCATGGCATTACGTCTCTGTGAGCTTAGTAGCGGAAAATTTAAAACACTTATAAAGCATTCAAACTTTTGATTCAAAAGATATCACATGAACATGCTACAATTTTTTTTTTGAAAATAATATGAATATTTTTGAAGTGTGTGTGCAAATATATATATATATATATATATTCATTAACAATACATATTGCACTTATAAATTTTCAAGAAATATTATGTTGAATGTAGGACAATAATAATAACCACTTTTGAAGAAGGTTATCTCAAATCTTAAACTTTTGGAATAATATTGCAACAACTAATCTTTTCTGCAATAAATACACAATAAAGTATGACTTCAAACACATTGTAAAACTTAGCATTTTCTATTGATCTTCAAAAATATTTATAATTTCTAAAACCTTCAATAGGATTTTAGAAATCTTTCTAATATTTTGAATTTTTTTTTGGTAGAAAATATTTTTGAAATTTGAAAAAAAAAAAACCCATAGTTTTTTTAAATTATTGCATATTTTTTTAAAAAATTAATTATCATAATATAAATAAAAAAAATAGAGAAGACTAGAGATAGCTTCGTCTTGCCAATACAAGTTTAGTTGTTAGTTTAATCTTATATTAAACTTGAAATTTATATACATACACTTTTAATGGTTTTAATTTATTAAAGTAGAAGTATTATAAATTAATTTCTAAATATTCTTTAAATATTTTAAATTTATTATTGAATCCTATTTTTAAATTATTATTTTTCCATATATATATATATATATATATGTTTCAAACTTGTAAGTTTTAAATTTTAGTTTTCCAAGTTTAATTCAGTCACATCTTTAAACATGTTTATTTAATTAATTTAAATATTTTTGTGACCAATAAAATTTATCTAAAAGCTATTTTAAATAATTGTATATATATATATATATATATATATATTAGTGGATTTGTTACTTTTAAAAATTATTTTTGTAAATTAGAATATTCAATTGATTGATTGTAATTATATATGAATGAAAAATAAATCTTACACTAAGAAGTGTACATTTGATGTCATGACCTTTTAAGATGTTCAATTATTATAGTCTTTAAATTATCATATATTACTTTATGTTTTTTTCATTTTTTTATTTTATAATTTTACTTTTTTAATAAAAATTAAGCTTAGTATTTCTTTGGTCTTTTTTAAATTATTCGATTATTTTTATTGATACATGTGAAAATTATTACTATTAGTATCTTTTTTGTTGAAAGTGAAATTATAATTGAAATATAATATATAATTTTTATTATAATTTTTAAAATTTTAATTCCTTGTTTAAAGTTAAACTAAGATTGTCGATGAGTCAAAGATACTAAGATATTATATATACATTTTACAATAAAAATGGTCTTCAAAGTAACATTTTAATCAGCCGATGATTAAGGAATTAAAAACTTAGATAAAGTCTACACTCATGGAACATTTTTTCAAAACTTATGGCCCAAACAAAGCGAGATTCAAATACGATCCTTTAAATTCAACAAGCACAATAGAAAGAAAAATTTCATTCGACAGTGAATTGGTCGATTATCTTGTTTTGGACACACCGCACCAAACTATACCAAATTTGAAGTCTACGTTTCACAAAAGTAAAAGTCACTCATCAATTTAATCTACAATCTTGAAGAAGAAATCAAGCGTTCCTTATGAAGAGTTGCAATCAAATCAATCAAAACGCTGTAGAATACCTTATTTTATTTCCATTTAATAATAGAAAACATAATTCAGAAGGTCATTTTCAAAACAAATCAAAGACGAAAGCGATCTCATGACTGATGCATCTTCAAACGACCAGCGCCACTCCGTGGCAACATCATTCCATCGAAGAAATAGAACTTTGCACAGAAATAAAAACGAATATACCAATTCTTTTCCGGATAAAGCAGGTTCGAACAAGAGCGATAGGAGGAAGAGAAGAATAGGATATAGCGGTGCGAGAAAAATGCCGGAATGAACGTTACAGTAGAGTGCGGAGCACGGAACCTGGTGTATTGAGCTCCATGCCGAAGCTCTGTAGTCTCTCTCTCCACACCTGCAAAAACAACAACAAAAACAACACAAGTGCTGGATCAGTAAGGCCTAGAAGTTTTCGTCGGGGTTCATCCAATTCCTGCAACGAAAGTCATCCAACAGTCCAACGTGGCAGACATCATTCGATTGGACGATACTTTGCAGAATCCGAGGTGGACAATCCTCCCCTATTCCTGTGCGCTGACGACCCGCAAAAGGCTTCCTGACGGCGACAACGCTCTTCGTTTTTCAGTGCTTTGCTTTGCTTTGGTTCCTTGCTCGCTTGCTGGCTGGCTGGCTGGCTTGCACCGCTCTCGCATCCGGACAACGGGGAATTTACCCACACGCTGGCCATCGCCGCTCTTCGTCAATTACATGTCTCCACACTCATCTGGTTGGGAGGATTGCAAGGTTTGTTCCAGCCTCTGTGATTGTCTCCCCTATGCTTTGGCGGGTCTGTGGGAAGCACGGCGAGCTAGCCCCTGCCGGTTGGGGTTTGGATCAGATCCTTTGGATCCATGTCAGGTTTTGTCTCTGGTTTTAAGTTACGGGTTTTCCGTTTTGCATCGCACGAGCGTCTGAAATTGATCCTGAATTGCAGATGCGATCCGTTCACGATGATTTTGGATATAATTGGTGCCTTGACTAGGCGTGTCGTGCCGGGTTAGGTCGATGGTGTGTGAAATATTCTAAGGAGGCGTGGAATCTTTTATTGCGTTTTGGTGGAGGAGATGGTGCCTGTTGAAGAGGGATTTGTTTGACTTTGTCTTGGGCAATGTCATTCCTATGGTGCGGATGGGTATTAACTTCAGGGTTTGAGGAGTAGAATGGATCGTTCTTTGTTCATACTTGGGCGGTAATTGATTCTGGTTATTGAGCTTCAACTAGGGTTGACATTTGTTTCGACTTGCGCGTAATCTCGGGTGGTTCAGACGTGATATGTCCAAGGCTTTGCTGATTGTGATTGCACTTGTAGTCTAGAGTTTTCGTGTTCTCGAAGAAGAGATGACTATACATTGCTCCTAGGATCAATTCACTAATTGCTTTAAATGCCAAACCGTAATTTCGTCGTATTGGATAGGGCTATAGAATATTAGATTATAAACCACTTATTGTCCACTCTTTCCGTTTAAGTGGCATTTATCTTTGAAATACATCACCTACTTTTATTGGCTATCGTTGGTGACCATCGGTATTGATTCTTATGTGTATATTTTGGATTTTTAACTGGAATTTTTAGGTTTAGGTTTTACTGGTGCTTCGTCTTGGCGGTTGTGTGTTTGCAAGGTTGTGGTTGTATTCGACTGGAATGATCACTATTCATTTGTGATATTTTACTGCAGGACGAAGTGCCGATTTATTATGGATTAAAAGTGGGGTGTCCAGCTGTTAAAGTTCTAACTGTGCAGTGACCTTGTTTGTTTCAGACAATTATTGACCTCTTTAGTTTCTGAGGATTGAGCATCACGCCGCTTCATCTCCGAATGGATCTTTCCTCACCGCCCCTCCTAGTGCCGCCATCGGCACTGAATCGTTTTTCTAAAGGCCCCTACTCGAGTGATGACTCCATGCCTTCCTCACCAACCTCAAATACCTCCGCTGCGGCTTCGCCCCAAATTTCGCCGCGATTGGAGGCTCCACAAGCATCTACGCAACTCGATGCTCTGCTCTCTGTAGCCTTCAATCAAGATCATGGATGCTTTGCATGTGGCACACAGACAGGGTTTCGTATTTATAATTGTGATCCGTTCAAGGAAACTTTTCGTCGGGAATTCGATGGGGCTGGGATTGCAATAGTGGAAATGCTGTTTAGGTGCGTACTTCTCCAATTCTGAACTGATACACTGTGTGTATTTGTGTGTTTGTTCTTCCTAGTTTTTCTTTCTTCTTTAACCCACCCTTCCCCAAAGTTTGATATGAATTCTTAATCAACCTTTGGGATATTGAGTTTGGGTGTTGGTTACGATGCTTTAGTGTGTAACATCTAAAATCTGCGGAAGAATTGCCAGGTGCAACATTTTGGCTTTGGTTGGTGGAGGTAAATCACCGAGGTACTCCCCCAATAAGGTGATGATTTGGGATGATCATCTGAGCCGGTGCATAGGAGAGTTGTCATTCAGAACCGAAGTTCGAGCTGTCCGTCTTCGGAGGGATAGGATCATTGTCGTCCTGCAATTTAGAATCTACGTGTACAACTTCGCTGACTTGAAGCTACTTCATCAAATCGAAACTTGGTCCAACACGAAAGGAATCTGTGCACTCTCTCCTTCGCCAAAAACGTGTGTTCTTGCGTGCCCAGGCCAGCGGAAGGGTGAAGTACGGGTTGAGCTTTACACTTCAAAGAAAACAAGGTTTATAATGGCGCATGATTCCTCGTTAGCTTGCCTCTCACTTTCTCTGGATGGGTCTCTTTTGGCCACTGCGAGCAATAAGGGCACTCTTGTTCGGATATTTAACACGGCCGATGGCACTAAGCTGCAAGAGGTATGTGATGTTCTTCCATTACCCGTAGGAAATATATTAGAATTCATTCCGATTTTTTTGTGGTTCATCAATAGAACTATTATCTATGATTTTGGCTTGCCAGTGTATGTGCTAGCAAGCATCTCAGAATTGGATGCTTCTGCGCAAATTCTTGGGACTTTTATCACATGTATTTTTGATGTTTCTTTTTTTGCATAGTTAATAGTCGTGCGCCTCTACATCAACCTTCACATTGTAAAATCTTCGTTACTTTGTTTTGCTTTCATCGAAAACTTAATTTATATAAAAGGTTTCAAATATTGTGAAATATTTATGAGAGTTTTTGAATGCAGCTGCCTTACAAATGAATAAGAATTTGCTGATAGATTCAAATTATGTGAAAGTTAAGTTCGTCTTCAAAGTCGGTTGACTTTTTAGAAAATGCGTTTTGAGCAAGCATGGTTCTTGTTAATATTCATGAATATTGATAGTTTTCACACCCAAGCTTGCAAGGGTAAGTAGATGTGCACTTTTTTGTGTTTTACCTTTGGAAATAAGTAATGAAGCCGCCTAAAATTTGGTCTGCTTCGTGGCTCACTGGTATGTAGGCCAACATTGATCATCTGTTTTGTGTTAACAGCTTCGACGTGGAGTAGAACGTGCGGAGATATATAGTCTTGTTTTTCATCCAAATCTTCGTTGGCTTGCCGTTTCTAGTGCTAAAGGCACCGTCCATGTCTTCACAATTAAACCGACCACTGAAGAAGCTCGCTCTGAGGCAATCGCGAACACCTCCTCTGCCTCTGCAGATGGATCAGCTCTATCTCCCGGCAAGAACAATGATAGTCCTCTGGGCAGTTCTTCATTATCAATGTCATCTCCATCTGCAAATGCGGGCTCATCACTTTCCTTCATGAAGGGTGAGCGTGTTCATATCCCCCCTCCTCTCTCTCTCTCTCTCTCAGGCACACACATACACAGACCCCGGCTTAGATCTGAAATTTCTGTTGGATGTTTATCTTGTAAACTGTATTTCTCCGATGCGCTATTTGATCCGAAAGTAACGCGTTTGTGTAGAGTGAATGCTGATGCGTAGTTTGCTTTTCTGAAGAGTTGCTGCACGCCTTCGGGGTTTTGTGGGTTCGACTGGTAGACACATTTCATTGTTTTGACCGAGGATGCGTTCACTGTTTATTGATCGTAGTTATCAGCACTATGGACTCAGTTTACCTTACTGCATTTATTTCATGTTGAACTTGCATCTGATAACTGTTGCAGGTGTTCTGCCCAAGTACTTTAGTTCAGAGTGGTCTTTTTCACAGTTCCGCGTGCCTGAGGAGACCAAGGCTATAGTAGCATTCGGGTCTATGAAGAATACGATTGTTATTGTGTGTGCCAACGGGAGGTATGTGGTTCATTATGCAGTGCTTTAAAGATGTTGCTTTGAAAGGTTGTAGTTTGTTCGAATCTGATGAGAGCTCTAGTGTTGTTCTTTTTTCTTTCCTTCGGGTGACTGTTGGGTTGATTAAAAGAATTCACGGAGATCAGTTTCTGAGAGTACTGTGCAATTCATGCGTATCTTTTTGTTTGCTGCAGTTACTACAGGTGTTCATTTGATGGAAAGGAGGGTGGAGAAATGGTACAACTTGAATACGAACGTTATATGAAGCCTGAAGAAACTGAGGAAACCGTGTCCATGTAAGTTGCTGAGTTAGGCTGTAGACTTGCAACCTTTAAACGAAAGGGAGAGCTAATAACGGCCCTCTGTCAGTCATATCCAAGTTGCGTGAAGACCGAAATGTGTGTGAAACCCTGCTGCAGTTATACCCACGAATTTTAACAGCTTCAGCATTCGTTCGGGCTTGAAATTAAGCGACTAATTAGAGGCTGTCAGTTGAAAAGGGGCATATTTGTATCAAGAGGCCGGACTTGAAGCTTGTGCCTATCTATTGCTCTTTTTATTTATGTAGTCCTAAACGAGATTTCATATTTTAATTGTACAGTGGTGGAATGTAGTGTAAAGAAAATGTACAGTACAGTATCCTAGCCTCACCTTTCTAACCACATGACTAGGTTTGTATGAAATAGTTCTGCACCATAAGATTGACAGAATGTTTTATAAGATTATTTCATGTGATGCAATTTTAATTTCAACCGTGTGAATTTTTACATGAACGTACGAGTAGTGTATAGTAAAAAATTTAATGGATTTTTTCAGATTTTAACTAGGTTGTTATTATTTCTAAAATGAAATGTGAAACATGAAAAGTTGCACAAGTAGTCAGCTTGTGATTCAAAAGTTTTAGGTATGAAAAAATCTATAATTTTAATAAAATGTATATTTAAAATTAAAAACAAACAGGTACCAACTCAGTCAAAATGAAGATAAACTACATCTTAGTTTTATATGATTTATAAGTAGTTTATGTTTTATTATTTGCTTTAACAGCTTTATGAACCATCCATGCAGATGTTGCGTCTGTGCCTGTGAGTTTTTTTTAATCCCATTTTACATCCAACTGTGTTCCTTTCTTATGTTTTGTTGGAGTTGTACTGTATTATCTTCTGTAAAATCACAACCTAGTTTTAGCCCAAATTTTGTCATTTTGAGCTTATAAAGTACGAGTTACAAGATTAGTTTAGTTACTATTCCTGTACAACATTTCCAGTGATCTTTGACGAAAATAACACATTCTCATATTTTATTATTCGTCCACCATCATCTCGATGAAGTGAACTGCACCGTGCAAATTCTTCCCCTCTAAGTGCTTCAGTTCTATGTTTCCGACACATTTAGGACCCAAATCTCCACATCAGGCAACGGATTCTTTGCTCGGACACTACGCAGATGAGTGTTATAGTTGAATCGGACAGATCGTTTGGCCCTGCTTCCTATGATATATTCTGGTTTAACTATGCAGAATCAGAGAATCACTTTGGTACTGAAACCAACCAGTTAAGTGACTGTTTTGCGTTGCAACGATATTGCGCCAAGACGATAAATGCTCTAAACTCCGTGCCCACTGCTGCAAGTCATACTTCGGCATGACCTAGAGCTCTTTTCGGTGTCATGGTAACGAGCAACCATGACTTCGACGGCTGAACTTCTGCTATCTTCTTCAATTTGTGAAGGAGCACTCGATATAGAATATCTTTGCCAGGAACATAACTTTTTTGAATCCTACAGGACATGAAATCTGCTGTCAGATCGAGTGAAGATGAATTGCACCTACACAGTTTAATCTGAGAATGCTAATTGGCGACTTAAGGAATAATTTTCCTTAAAGGACAAGGCTGGACTCACAGAAGGTAGTTCACAAGAACCTCCTGTTCTGAGTCCCATTGCTGCACCCTTAATGCGGAGTTTTGCGACACACGAGTATGCTTGGAATAAGTGGATTATTCTCGACGCTTTTCCCCGCTGTATCAGTTCCTAGGGATGATCTGGTTAAGACAATTACCGAAATGCGGCAACGTTAACGTCAAGTGCAGCAAGAAGACAAGCTCGTTACGCAACCTTCGCACTTTTGTGTCAGGTGAGGTGGGAGAATCAACTCATTCAAAGTTTTCTTCCTTTTGTGTTTGAAAGAGTTACCAGGGATTGCCGCGCGGAAGCTGTTTCGAGCCGTGCTACTTTTTATTTTAGGTCTTGGCATATGTCTAGATTTTTTAATGGATCCCGCAGGGATCAATGTTTAGGCTAGATGCGGTTTGTTTTTAACATGCTAAAGACGCTTACGAGGAGATCAGGTGGTTCACACTAGTGGGAAAAGCTTTTCATATTATGACGAAGTTTTCCTGTGAACCTACAGAAACCTCCCTCAGTGCTTCATGTCGAAAGCATGTGCTAAGCGGAATGCCCTCCCAGTCTCTACACCTACACTGCACTCATGAATGTGCATGCGAGGTGTGGAAATTGTGTGAGAGTTGAGAAAACATTCTGTATGTTGTGCTCCTGAAGTCCACAATCAATTTGTCACTTGCAGTTATGAATGTAGAACGCAAACAGTTGGTATTAGATTGAAGGTGGACCGACTGGCTTTGTTGTGCTGTATCTGTATGCTCAGGTTCTTCATCGGTTGATAGACGTATTCTATTCAATTAAATACCCGGAGACAGGTAAAGCGTAAAGGAATGTACATAGAATGAATTGTAAGAAACATTTGTTTGGCACTGAATATTCGTGATGTCAATCTGAAATTTTTAAGACAGACTTAAAAAGCAAGGATCTTGTACATCCTGTTTCATGGCGAAAGTGGGCAGTTCTACGGTGGTTGCAGAGGAGGTGCGAGTAGGAGCTCTATAGCTTGAATGATGGAGTCGTAGAGATTCATGGAATTTGGTTGCGTAAGTATCTCTTGTGCCTTCTGCAAGTGCTCCAAGGCCGCTATCTTATAATTGGCGTGACTGAAAGCCAAGCCACACACGTAGCAAGCTTCTCCAACAGCTAAATTATCTTTACCGAGCTTTTCACTCCTTAATCTGCATATATCCTGTAAATACATATTTCAACTGATTTGTCAGCATTCAGTACTTCACATGCTTTATAGCCAAAAAGACCGCGCTTGAAAAATGTATACCTGAGAGAGCCAGTGCACCATAAGACAAAGAAACTATATAACTTTTCAAATTCTGAAAATTTTGCAAACTAGCATGCAATCGACAATATGTTAATAACACACCGTTGCACACAAAAGCTTCAGATCAATGTCAAATCCAAAGCACCTGTAGCACATGAAACACTATGGGAAATTCCACCGTGGCAATCACCAGCTTGGGATCCAGTCGTTCAGGGTTTTTTCCCTCAAATTCTTTCGTTCCCCATGGCAGCTCCTTCGAAGGTATAATATTCAGTACCACCTCCTCAAGCGCCGTTCTCCATGAGCGCATTACAACATCCCAAAAGGCCAACGCATGGTCTATTTGATTCTGAAATACGTCAGCATTCTGACATCTATCAGTTGAAAAAGAAGCGAACCAGCTCGAAGTTCACCAACGTGTGATCAACCATCAGGAATGGTTACGCCAATGGAAACAAAAAGGAGATTTTGTCGGGAAATGTCTTCTGGCATGTTCACCTGCAATGTATATCATCACAAGGGTTTTGGCAACAAAGATGAAGCAACTTACCATACTGTAAAAGACCTTCGATAAGTTGTAGAAGGCAATACTCGTGCGAACGTCGTAGACTCCATATTCTTTTGACTTGTAATAAACCTCCTCTGCAAATGCCTTCAGTGATGCATCCGGAAGATTCTGCAGGCTAACCACACCATGTTTGTCGATGGAATGCCACGTAGAAAGTAATCGTATCAGGTGGCAATGAGCATGTTTACCTAAAGCTTGGCTCTCATAATGCGCATTCGAAATTATATGAACCTCAAGGAGTTCATATTTCTTTTACAATTGTTAATACCTTCTTTCTTGATGACTATCGATTTGACAATTCTGTTTAGTAAAAATTGGGATTATCGACTGTATAAGATGAGCTAAATCTGCCTGGTATAACCACTCATAGGGTAGCATGACCACTCTTAGTGATTACCTTGGAGCTCATGCAATGTAGAATGAAAAGTTTGATGAATACATTAAGCACGGAGAGCTTTCCAAACAATTGACTTATCTCGCTTCGTAATTCATCTTTAGGTCCATCGGATTTATCCTGTAGAAGGAGCCAAGCTCCCACACCCAGCAGATCTTGAGCTTGCGTTGGCCTACACAACCCCAGATTGACCTGTATGCATATGTGAGGAAATGTCAAGAATTTTCTGATAGCCTTAGCAGAGCTGGTCCTGCAGCAAGTACATATTTTCTACTATCACCAAAAATTAACTTGAAGGATACTGGACCTTCAAAACAACAACAATCTCTTTCTAAGCTCAGTGCCTTTTGCTTAAGAGTTGGACCATCCTACGAGTAATTCAATCCAATTTTTCTTCCCTGAAGGCCAATATACCCTTGAGAAGCCTAGTTATCAGTTTGACCCAAGAACTCTATTACATTTAAATACTTTTATGTCTGTAGTAACACAAGACACTGGGATACGATTCCTGGTCTTCTTTAGCAACCTTTGGTGTTACCTCCTAAACCATGCACGTTGATACTTTATTAAAAACCGATGGGAAATGGTTAGTAAGCGAGGACGCAGGTTCATTCGTATTAGAATTTTCGTGGAGAGGAACTCGACTGTAGACCTCCAGGTAGAGGCGAAAGGCTACTTGAATCAGGGTTACAGAACGGTGGAGCCAGTAAAAGGAATAAGCATAATGTTCCCGCACTTCCCGACCACGCTAATTGCAATATTCAGCCTTATTTTTGCAGATCACGTTTAACCTTGACTGCAAGAAGGTACAATGGAACCATTCTGAGTGGTTCTCTTGGCCAATACAGGGTCTGTCCCTTGGCAACTGCATCCATTGCAAAAGGCAATGCCTCTTCGTAGTGGCCCCTGGTAATCAGATCCGTCACCGTTTTGGTGATCATCTTCAACATAGCAGCTTGCACTTTAGGAATCAAATCCATCTGCAAAATTTATGAGAATTAGAAGTTTGCAACATTATTCTCACCTTAGATGAAGGCAGAAATTAGTTCATGAGCTTGCCATATGAACATAATACCAATTTCTCTTACCCGGCGTCTATCGTCAAGGATGCGCAGTAGCGAATTCGGCGGCAATAATGTGGCTCCTACTACATTTGCAGATTCAGGTGGAATGCCCAGTTGTGCCAACCGCATTAGAGTCACAGTGTCAATAGTGCGAACTCGTGGGTATCTCTGCCTTCGCAATTCCTGTACTCAAACATGAAAGATTAAGTTAGCGATCAAGCACTACTGCTATTAACTCACTGCACGATGTTATATTAGGGCAGAACCCATCCAGAGAAAGACTCAGTAAAGGCAAGGAAGGCTACTCCACCTTGCCAAACGCTGCTGGATTCTCATTGAATACCTCCACTGCAACTTGGCTCATTGAGAACATCTGCAGGCATGGACACATTTTATCGAATGATGTACAGTGGCACCACAACTCAGTTGCAAGTGGAACTCGATACTAGAGGTTTTTCATATTGACATGTGTGTACAATCCTCATTGTTACAAATGAAGCACAATCAACCGAACTTAAAATAGATTGCCTTAGGATACTGCGTTCATTTAGTTTCATGAAATTAGCACAATCGACACTCCAGCAATAATCTTGCACGTCTTCCTTGCCGTCGCACGTGAAATTGCCAATCGAAAGCCTTACCGTGGTGTAAAAAACTACTGGCGTCCTCCTTTAATACAAATCTACTCACACCATAATTGAAGTAATTACTACCAACGCAAGCCAATCCTGGGAATGATCTTACGATTCCTTGCTTCGTCGCAATAGCATGAATGGGCGCACTGCCGCCCAGGTGAACACTGACGGCCTCCATGAATGCTGCTTGTTACCACAATCACATGCACACTAACACGTACTTTCACAACAGTTCTATGAATCCATGAAATTCAGGAAGAGTTGCGTGTTTTATGATATCAACACTGAAACTGCATCAAAAATTGCCTTCGCCATGGTATCGCTCCCTACTTCTCTCACGACACCAAAGAGACGATAGAAGTATGTTTACAACGATGATTCAAGCAGATTAGAAACAAGATTTTCAACGCAAACAAACCGAAACAACAGAAATTGTGCTGACAAAACGGCAGATGATGCACTATTCTACTCTTCTCCTCATCAAAGGCCTGCTTCATAAGCTCCACTGCGCCTCTCTAGGGATGAAAGCCGAATGGATGAATGTCTATTGTTCCAGACATCCGTTCATCCGACGTGAACAGGTGTGATGATAATCTCCTTAATTTTTGTTAATGTTCACCAGGTTAAACTAATGCAAATATGATGTTATAAGCATTTCACTAAAATATTAATTATAAAATGATAAATTGAATTTTATTTTATTTTTTTGATAACATGATGTATCTAAATTGTTTTGTTGAGTATATAGTATATCTATCAAATTTAAAGATATCGATCAAAAAAATCTATACATGTATATATATATATATATATATATATGTGTGTGTGTGTGTACTTGAATGATCAAATTATTTGGATTTTTATCTTCTTTCAATTCTAAACTAAAGTAGAAGTTACTTCAAAAAGATTCCATGAACTGCAAAAAAAATTCTATGGTTTTTTTATTTAAAAACATAATAATTACACTGGACTTAGGTTTTACAGAATAAAAAGGAGATAACACAGAGCACTTCAATCTAGCTAATACATGCCGTATAATAATTTGCATTATTGTCTTCTCTTTGACAATAATAACCATTTTCTATTTGAATTCAATTCATTATCATCTTCTCAAATCTATTTTACAAGAAATTAAACATAACTTTTTTGTTTCAAAGTAAATGGTTCTTTCTAATAAAGCATAAAAATAACTAATTATATAAAACACCAACAGAAGAAATTATAATTTTGTATTTGCATATAAAATTTGAAGTAAAACCTAAAATTAAGCACATTGTCCATGATATTTAGGTTTACATCTTAAGAAATAAAAATAAAAACTTGTTGAATATTATTTACATTATTTAGAATATTAAAACATAGGAGAGAATGATGATTAAAAATTTTTAATTTTAAAAAATTATTAAAAATTAAAATTTTGTATCTATGTTAATTAAAAATATTTAAAAAAAGAAAACACAATTTTTTTAAAAGACGAATAATGAAAAGTTTGCAAACAAACAAAACTAACATTAATAAAATATTTTTATATCTTTTAGCCTGTAAGAGATCAAGTTATAAACTTAAGATTAACATATATTTTTTATTTTATTATAAAAATTTATTTACATTGAAATTTTTTCATTAAATGATTTAAGGATGTTATTTAAGGTTTGCATTTAATGTAATCAAAACAAATATAAAAATATTTTTTTATAAAAATTAGGTACTAGTTGATATTTAATATTGATAAAATATTTAAATTGTTTTTTTAATTTATTCATTGATCATCCTTTACTATCTTATTATTTTCTTTTAAGGATATATGTTGTATTATCATTTTATTTATGATTATAAATTTTTTAGTCATATATATACATATACATTATTTAACATAATTTTGTTTCTCTTTTTTTCAATATTTTTCAGTTAGAGGTATTTATGATTCCAACGCATTAAAATTTTCAAAATATAATGAAAAATTAATTAGGTATATTTAAAAATGTGAATGATCATTCTATGTTCGGGTGAATGTTATTTTATTAATCATATAAAAAAGATTATTAATCCACACAACAGAAACGAACGAACGAACTTTTAAAGGCAAAGGATGTGAGATGAGACGACGAATTTCGAAGCAGTTTCCCTTTGATGGCATGGATGAGTCCCCTATTGCCGGCCAGGTTCCTGAGCGTGGGAACCCTAATAGGGGATCAGGTTCGGTAATAGGCTCGGTAGTAGGTTCGGTAGTAGGTTCGGTTATAGGTTCGGTTATAGGTTCGGAGTGATGGGGAGGGGGCTATGGGACTGAGCCGGACCAACCGATGGTTCTTTCGTAAGCCTTTCGTGCTTCCATCGCCAGCTCCTCCCCTTCCTCGCCTTCACACCTCGGCTTGCTTGGCTCCTCAAGGTGTGTTGGCTCTTTGATGTCTTGCTGCCTGATTCTCTCTTTATTTTTTTATTTTTTTATTTTTTTTTTCTCTCTCTTTGTAGATATTGGTACATACAGTTGTGGAGGTCTGCACTCGTAATGCGTCTAGGGCGAACTTTTCGTTTCTCTTTCGGAGGTGTTGTACGCTACGTGGTTATAATGTGAGACGGCACATGAAGATTTCTTTTTACCTTGATTGAGAACTCGTGTAGCGTCCATTTTTGTTCTTCTGGCGTGCTGATGAGTAGGTTCCATTTGGAATTATAGGGTTTAGGAGGTTTAGGTCGTTTTGCTCCAATAGCTTATGGTATTACAGGTTTTCTTTTTCTTTTTTCCTTTGATAATAAACCAAAATAATTGGTCTCTTTCTAAATTAGATATAACCAAAAATTCTTTTCGGCGTAGCTATTTTTTACAGGAAGTTTTCAGAAAACATCAAGTGAAGACTTAGAGCGCTGAGGGTTTGAAGCGTGTAATTGTTTTAGAAATTTACAATTGAGAAGGTCAGAGAGTAGCTATGGCTTCAATTCATATTGGCCTGATTCAAATGTGGTATTGCTATTGTCGTGTTCATCTTAACAGGTAGGGCACGATGGTGAGAATCAGTGTGTTGAACGATGCGTTGAAGAACATGTTCAATGCAGAGAAGCGTGGAAAGCGTCAAGTGTTGATTAGGCCTTCGTCGAAGGTCGTCATCAAGTTCTTGTCAGTGATGCAAAAGCATGGTACTACTCCTGAGCTTCACCTCTTTTCTTTTTCTTTCTTCCAATGCCTCACAACACCACATATCTGAAGCTTCTCTTGAGCAGGATGCGGCAATTTATTATTTTCGTTAGGGTAACTAGCGTGTTCAGGATTTCATATTTGGTACATAAGCAGATTTGTGTGCTTTTGGAAACCTGTTGTACAATCATTCAAAGCTCACAATGTTCACGAATAGCAAACAATGTCTTTCAACGATGCTAGCTTTCGTAGACCGTTATTTGGACATTCTGAAAAATTCGAGTACAGCGAACATAAGGTTGTGACGCTCTTCGTCAATAGTAAAAACATCATCTTCGTCATTTTGTTTAGTGCACGTTCGCATCGTGTATCTTGATATGTAGGTCTGCTTTTATGCTGATATTATCTCTATTTCTCAGTGATAAGTGCTTTTTGTTTTAATTTAACTTGAAACTGTCGAAAAGATCTATGTCGAGTCACACAATTGAATTTAGAGTTTTGGTTTGTTCTTAACCTTACCTTCGTTTGCAGGCTACATTGGCGAGTTTGAACTGGTAGATGACCACAGAGCAGGCAAGATTGTTGTTGAGTTAAACGGAAGACTTAACAAGTGCGGAGTTATCAGTCCTCGTTACAACGTTGGAGTTGGCGAGCTTGAGGCATGGACTGCCCGTCTGCTCCCTTCTCGACAGGTTATTATTTACCACCTGTCATCGTGGTCTACTCAATATTATTCAAAATCGGTGGTACAATGTGGTGCTGTGGAGATAGCTTAACGCATGTGACGGTTGCGTCATCCTAGTACTTCTCTTTTTTTCTTCGTTTAGAGTCGGTGGAATCTTCATTCCTTATATGTATTTTATTTTTGCCTGTGCAGTTCGGATACATTGTTTTGACCACTTCGGCTGGAATCATGGATCACGACGAAGCTAGGAGGAAAAATGTCGGAGGCAAGGTTTTGGGATTCTTTTACTAGTGGAAATGAGGGTTAACATAGGAGGAAAGGACTGCCTATGTTGGTTACCACCCTTAATGAAGAAAACTCATCTGTTTTTGGATGCTAGTTTTTCTGTTTATGTTACTTGTATCAAAAAACTTGTTATGCAAGTCAGGGCAGATTATGACCTAATTGGAGATTACTTTCTTTACTTTCTATTCGTTACTTCATTGCATGACTTCTTTTAATCGTTTTCACATCCTTTTTCGTTCTGCTTTCCCTTCTCTGAACGTTCTCGCCTTTGCTATTTTGGAAAGTTATAGTTTTCTACCTGTAAAAGAAGAGTTTCGTCTATTCTGGATGACAAGTGATTGTCTTTACTGTGGTATGAGTCTTGATTTCATTGTCTGTCCTCACTGAATAACTCATTTTATCAAATCACCGTGCCCTTAGCCTAAACTGTATAGAGAAGATTGTAGAGGGAACCTTGTCCTGAGATGCCACATGGGTGTAAGCAGCATTCTAGATTGGTATACCAATGAAACCTTTACTTCTTGTATCTTCCTTGTACCATAATGTTTAGGTTTTGATATGGTAAGTTACCACCCTGACCAAGAATTTAGTTTGGCAAGTTGTGCCTCCTCTAATCATCAAAGTTTTTGTTCTTGAATTTAAATCAAATATTCCTTGTTGAATGCCTTTCATTCCATTAGCAGTATTCACATTCGCAGACACTGCGGAAGTAACTGTTCAAATGGATACATAAATCAATTGGTGATATTATAATTTGAAGTACCCATATCTTAACTTTTTTTAATATATGTTATCGTTCTTTCTACTTAATATATGTTTATTTGCATAACAAGAACATATAAGTTACAAAAAGCGTTTCCTGTCGAATTTGTTAAGGTCCTATGTTCTCAATCCTGATAAGTATTTAAACCAAGAGTACGCCTGATGCTGATGTTGACAAAACTGGGTGCTTCCTGCTTCAGAATTTCAGCTGCCTTTCTCATCAGAATCCTCTTCTTCTGCATCTTCAAACCGCGAGTCCTGATGTAACAACTGAGAAACAAAGGAACCAAATAATCAGTGCAATCAAAAGACAATGGTAAAATGCATTCGGATCGATAGTGGAAAGATGTAGCTATGAAAATATCCATACATGGATTGACTTGTACGTCTGTAGCGAGGGTTGCAAAACGAATACTGTATTTGAAGTCAAAGCACCACTTGTTACTTAAGTTACCTCTGCAAGGTCTATATTCCGATCAACATTACTGCTATCGGGTGCAGCTCCGATGATATTTCCCATCACTTCATCCTCGTCGAAGACCCAATCTGCTTCACCTTCTTGTTCTGTATTCAAAACAAAAACGTTTCTGTAAGGAAAAACGAGACTGTCATAATTTGACACATAAGTCACGAGGCTTTTAGCGTAAATCCGAAATCAGGCTTTTCTTAGAACTTGTGCAAAAGGGAGCCGAGGCCTGCACAAAACTCTATGTCAAGATGATCTGATGACCAAGATCTATGCGTCAAAGATCAAATTATAAACGCTAGTGCCTGATTTTATTGAAGCTAGCTCAAACATGGAAGATTAGCTAGGCATAAACTGAAAAATAGTATTGGTTGAATGGCTAGGTGCAAGAGCCAGTGATTCAATATACTACAATGTGTTCACATACCAACTTCTGCATCGGGGTTCAACAGAGCGCAATCGCGTAGCACTTGAAACAGATGATCCACTGCCGTGACACGGATCCTAGTTAAGGTGTTACTCTCTACTTCAAGTATTCACAAAAAGACTTCAAGTCATGCAAAAGAATATAGCAAAAAACATAGACTGCCTAAGGTAACGCTCATAACTGCATTAGAAAAACCTAGTGGATTCTAATGCAAATTAAGTCAACAAACTCATTCTCTACTTATATCTCTCAAAATATCACTGTATAATTTGAAAAATCTAACTTCTGAATTCAAAAGACTATAGCCCTTAAGATTAGTATATATATAATTCAGATTCAGCAATGGAGAAAGAGAGAAAAATCAGGGAAAGTCAAAATAAAAAAAAAGCTTTGACAATAACAACAATAAATTGAGCAGGACATTGCAGGATACAGACACTAATGTCTTTCGGAACAAGCCGCATCTCTGTAATTAGAGAGAGATCGATCACAGAACCGTTTGACTCGGCAGGAAGAGACTCCTCTGCATCATCATCTTCTTCAAACTCATCCTCTTCCCTGCCATTGTCAATCTGCAAATGTTTCCAACCTGAATTCAACGATCTTTCAAAGAGCAAATTGAATTACACGAGATGCATTTGCAGACGACTAATCAAGTAGCACTCCAGAAAACAGCTGATCAGACTGCAAGACAGTTAGTAGACCTTGATAGAAGAACAATCTAGAAAGATGAACCTGAGTGTAAATGCAGGGCTCTGGATAAGCTTCAATATCTCTGGAGATAGCATGCATTGTCAATGCAATGAAGTCGACACCATATCCCTTCTGCGTGTCCTCGTTGCTCAACCAGACCAAGCGCCTGGCATCCAAACACACACAAAAAACATAAGACAACTTTGTCAAAATTGTCTATGTTACAACCACTTGAAGACACGGCCAGCTTCGTGGGGAGGACATAAATGAACATAACATTAGATACACTATGAGATCAATTCTGAACAGTAAGCAATAACATGAATATGATGCTACAACTAAACCCCACCGTTCAGACTATTGTCTAGTTTAAGAGGGTTCTCTACAAGATTGGCGAATTTCCCAGTATAAATTGGCGACAAAGTTGTCTCAGATAAAAATTACAAAGAGAAGATAGACAACAGAAAGGAATGATTAATGTGGGGAAAATAAAACGTATGAAGCTACTATACAGTCTCACAAAATCATCACCAAGCGCTGTTTCAGCCAATCCTAGTACTAATAAAAACTAGTGTAATCGCGGATACGGTGAAGCACACGACAAATTAAATGCATCAATTTACGATAACAAAAGCTGTTACCCGCGAAGCTGAAAACTGAGAAAAATTACTCAAAGGTGAAGGTGAAGAAAGGAAAGCCAGGAATTCCTTCAAAACAGGAAGAGAAAAATCACGCTCGGATTGCACGCATTACACTTCGGACCTCAGAAAGAAGAGAGAAATGATTGGCACCAACCTGGTGGTCACATAGAGAGTTCCAAAATGGTCAACATGCCCATCCCCAAGCACGATTTCGACATCTGGCTGAATATGCGCTACTCTCTCATCATTTTCTGCATCCACTACAGGTGCTCCTGATTCAGTACGCTCAGTGACTAAGCACAAACCCCACGCCATTCTGCCCAAAACTCCTCAAAGCACCAAACCACCGATCCTCTAGAACTTCTAAGTGTTCACGCGACAATCGCCGAACATAGACCACACGCAGCATGAACACCCGTAATTCTGGTCATGCACTCGCACTCGAATTGAGCTTGATCAAATACAGAGCATCCGAGCAACGATGCAAAAGTTCCTAAACCTCCTGAACCCTAACTGACAAATCCACGCTCCTGCTCATGCTTCACGACACCAATTATGACTGGGATTGAGAACAAGGTGTGCCACCCAGGTCCAGTTATGCTACACAGGGTATTATACGGGTATAACAGCTGCCGTTGACCCGGGTATGAGACGGGTATGACACCCAAGGACTGTGTTGACCGGGGAATGGAGAGGCAGGAGCCACGCTGAACATATACATAAGTTTCAAAAAATAATCTATGTAGTTTGTAGATATGAAATATAATTTCAACAAATTCTTTATTAGATTTTATGATACCACGTTTACAACATGTGTGCTTCGATTATTTGTAATGTGTAGTTAGCATTCAAAAAGGATGAAAATGTTTGTATGCATCCTGTTAAAATATCATTCATACTTGTTAAATATGTTGAAATATCAAGAATATCCTTGTATTCTTCATGATAACAAATCTATTCCTTACTTTTGTCATTATATCAAAATTATCCCTCAACTTAATAAGCTATTACAATTGTTCTTTTTTAGGTGCAATTGAGGCCCAACCTTCATTCTACAAAGAAATTAGAAAGCTTGCTTCCACACTTTTAGGCACAATACGTATTAATGTAGGTTGTTTTCTAATATCCATTGGTTTTCTAAAATACAATATCCTTCATATGTTGTAACATCAAGTCAATATTGCTTGACTTGATTCAACTTAGATTATATTGCAAAGAATAGATGCACTATATTGGTTGCAATTGGCATTGCAAAGAAAAGCAAGCAGACAATTTGCTTCTTGTTTGTCTTGAAGGAAAGAAGAGAGCAATAGTAGTGAACTAAAAAAACAAAGGCAAAATTACATTGCTGTGCTTACGAGTTGCAAATCTTTTAATTCTAATATGACACAATGATACAACACATTTATAACTTTTGCATGTCCATATGCAAAGTATATTAATAATTCAACAACAAATTAAAGGTGAAATCTAACTATGTACTTTAATCAAACAAGATATGTAATTTCAATTTGCTTTAATACCTTGCAATTAATACCATTCAATGGACAAGCATGAGGGTTGGATTTGTATGGAATACATCTTGGATTTTGGCATAATGTCATGAATTTAGAATATTGACTAGAAATCTAAACAAGAAGCTCAAGAAGAATCAGCAAGAACTAAATTAATCAGATGAGTACAAGAACAACATTAGAGAGGTGAGCTAGAGCTCCAAGAGGTGTATTGTCGAGATTGAGGATCCCCTCAGTCTCGGCTCCTATATATACTACAAGCTAGGAAGCTTCTTAAGTAGCTTCCGCAAACTTAGAAGCTTCTCAAGCAACTTTCACAAGCTAGGAAGCTTTTCAAATAACTTCCATGAGCTTGAAAACTTCTTAAGTAGCTTCTATAAACTACAAAGTTTTTTTAGACTTTTGTAGAATCTTCTATAACTTCCTAGTGTATGTCCTTGATATCACCCCCCCCTCCCTCCTTTAGCTTTGAGGTCTCCGAGAAGCATTCCTATTACGAGTCAGTACCATCATAAGACATTGCACTCTTCCAAAAAAAGATGACTCTCAATAAGGCTCCAACAAAAAAACATGAAAGACTGGGTATACCTTTATAGCAGCCGGTAACCCTAGATGGTATGCCACTAGATTGATTTTCTTCTCGATGATAAATGGTTCCAATCTTCAGTAGTCCAATTTATTACATGGCCACTTGGTTTTGATATTCCATCAAAGCAGCCATACTTTATCTCAAATTTTGAAAGTAGGTGCCTGATTCTAAAATTTGTCTGCAAATACCTTGTAAGCTTCTTGGGCGGTTTGCAATTCAACGTAGTTTGAAGCTCCGATAGTTGTTTCATAAATCCTTCAATTGCTGGGTTGTTATTGGTTGACGGATTCAACAAATCAAGCTTTGGATGATACCCATAGTTAAAAAAGAATAGTATTTGTTGAGTCGACACATGAAAGGTGTTGTTATATGTAAACTTGGCTAAAAATAGATATATAGTCTAATCATCTTACTGATAGTTGATGCTACATCATAAATACTGCTCCAAAGTTTGATTCACTTATTTCGTTTGGCCGTCAGTTTGAGGATAGAAAGCCAAAGAAAGCTTGATATCCACCTTCAATATCTCAAAGAGAGATCTCTAGAACTTTGATATGAATTGGGTTCCTCGATCCGACACGATATCATTTGGTAAACCATGATATCGATATACACTATCAAAGAAGAGCCTTGCTGTATCTTTGCTTGATGATGTTTTCTTGCAAGGGACAAAGTGTGCCACTTTGTAAGTCGATATACCACAACAAAGATGCTGTCAAATGAATTCGATGGCAGCAAATCCATAATGAAGTCCATGGAAACTGAAGACCATGGCCGACGTGGAATAGGCAATGGCTGAAAAAGACCATAAGGACGATGCCGAGGGTTCTTTGATCTTGAAAAAATGTCACAAGAGAGGACAAAATCCTTGACATCCTTCTACATTTGGGGCCACCAAAAATCTTGAGAAATAAGTTCTAAGGTCTTATTGAATCTAAAATGTCCCACATTTGAAAAGTTGTGTCAAGATTGGAGAACTCGGAGTCGTGCTGGTCCCTTTGGAATATACAACTGCTCCTCAAAGTATAAAAGATGTCCTTTTACCTTGAATTCGTCATTATTGACACTTTACGTGATATCGAGGGCTACAGAATCTCTAATAGTCACAGCACGTACCTGGTTGAGGAAGTCAGCATCAATTGGCACTATAGCACAACAAAGCCTGAATTATTCCGACTTCAACAATATTGTACATTGTTGATCAAATGTTACTTCTCCAACCTTTGGCGCTAGATACGATCTCCTTGATAATGCATCGAATAGTCTTTGTTGCTTCCCAGGCCGATAAGTAATAACAAAGACAAACTTGGATAGCAACATATTCCATTGAGCTTGACGATGATTCAAAACCCGAGCCGACATGAAGTACTCCAAATTCTTGTGATCCGTGTATATAATCACCGGATGCACAACTCTTTTGAGAAAGTGATGCCACTCTTGGAAAGAATCTACTATCGCAAGAAGTTCTTTATTGTAGATCTTATAGTTGATGTCAGCAGCAAAAAACTTTTGAGAGTAGAATGCAATCAGATGAAGCTTCTTGTCTGTGCCTATTAGCAAAAGTACAACTCCCATAGCAAAATCTGAAGCATCAGTCTCCAAATAGAAGGCCCTTGCAAAGTCCGGATGTACCAAGATTGGAGCCATAGTAAATGTCATCTTAAGATCTTAAATTTTTTTTTCCACTAGAAGTCTCTATTTGAGCTTATCTTTACATGTCAATCGAATAAGTGAAGCAGCAACTTGAGAATAATTCTCGATGAAGATTCAATAGAAGTTAGCAAAGCCAAGCAAGTATTGTACATCTCTAATAGTCTTTGGAACTTCCCATGATATGATTGCTTCCACCTTCTTAAGATCCATCTTCAAGCTATCTGTATTTGTAATGAATCCCAAGAATTCCATCTCAGTTTGGTTAAGCAAGCCCTTCTCCAAGTTGACGTAAAGTCCTTACTTGCGGAGTTTTTCAAGGACCAAAAGAAATGTTTCTCATGCTCTTCTATGTTCTTGAAAAATATCAAAATATCATCTAGATAGATGACAATAAAATTGTCAAGGTGCTCTCAAAAGATATCATTCATCATGTATTGAAAGATCGTTGGAGCATTGATAAGACCGAAAGGCATGACATTATATTCAAAATGGCCATACCTTGTACGGAAAGCTGTCTTCCATTCGTCTCCTTCCTTGATTCACACAAGATTGTAAGCTCCCCTTAGATCAATCTTTGTAAAGATCCTTATATGCCTAAGTTGCTCTAGAAGACCTGATATCAAGGGTAATGGATAACGATTCTTCTTTGTCACCTTGTTGAAACCTCGATAATCCAAGCACATCTGCAACGAGCCATCTTTCTTCTTTACAAATAAGATTGGTGCCCCAACTAGCGACTTCGAATGACAAATGAAGTTCTTGGCTAGATTCTTGTCAAAATACTTCTGCAACTCCGCTTACTCCGTCTGCGACAAATTGTAGATTGGACCAAAAGATGGTTGTATTCCTTCCTGCAAGTCTATGGCATAATTGTATGGTCGATGCTCCGATAGCATGTCAGCATTTTTCTTTTGAAACACGTCTTCAAAATCTTTATATTGCTCTGGTATATTTGCTGTCAAAATCTTCTATCAACTAGTTGGAGTTGCATAAATGACAAACAATATGCCTTCTTTGGACGATGTTACAAATGCTCTTGCTTCAATAAATAAGGATTTTTTTTATTTGGGATCTTCTAATAGGCTTACTCTCGGAATGTTCTATAGGAAATGTCATCCTTCGTAACCTCCAATCTATAGATGGGTTATGCATTTTTAACCAAAAAAGACCAAGAATAATAGGATTTGATGGGATTTCAATAATATTGAAAATAATATAACTACTATGGTCTTTAAACATTAATTCTATATGTTCTAATTCATGGGTGACACTACTAGACAATAAAGGTCATTTATCTATTACTTCTATGTGAACGGGTTTTGGTTTTTATACTAGAAGAATCTCGTGATGCTTAACAAATTCTTCATCTAAAAAGCAAGCAGATGCTCCTAAATCTAATAACGCTAAGGTTTTTAGTTTTTGAGGGCCAAAAGATAGAGGAATGGTAAAGCAATGGACACATTGAGCGGAAAGAGAGGAACCAGATTATTGTTGTAGTATTGAATCGTCCAGCCGCATGGTCCCTATTGTGGTTGGGCATCTTCGTTTTCTTGAACAAATGTGCCTTTGATCTTGAGAATGCATCGATTTTGCTTCTTGGGACAGTTTTCAACTTTGTGGCCTTCTTCATCGTAATACAAGCATAGTCTTTCTTCCATACGCCACTTTTTTTCTTCTAGAGTTAGAGATTTGATACGTACCGTATCAATTTACATGTCTTCCATCTCTGAATCTGAATTTAGGGTGCTTGCTGACATAATTGGAAGGTGATGGGC